CAATGGCCCACTTTTCACATTTCTGTGGAGAGGGCAGGAAACCATTCTGAATATTTTCAGGCAAGACAATAAGATCTTTAATTTATCAACCATCTTTTTCACTTATTTACTGTGGCATAATCAGAACAAACATGAGTTGTATACCTCTCTTTTATTGGTTCTTCTCAGGTTGGCTTATCCACTAATGAACACTTCCAGGCTTGCTCCAGTGGCATGGACTCAGCCCTCCTCTTAGAAGTCAGTTACTCGGAGTACAACCAGATTGGACGAAACACCACTAACAAAGTCCGAGGTCAAATACGGAAACCAATCAAGCCACTTCGTTCGCAGAGAGTTGAGCTGCCCTGTGCTTTCTGGTTCACGGAGAGAGACTTCATCACAGTGGTCATACGATCCCCTCACACAGAACAAGAAGTGAAGAACTCCGGACCTCTCTATCCATCCCGTATTTTCCCCTACAAACTACTGGTGGAAAACGTCAACGCTTATAAAAGTGGTTGCATGGACACAATGACTGTGAAGATGATAACGCCACCATGTACCCATGTTAATGGGAAAATACAGCTATATAACGCAAGTATTGGAAAGGGGGGTGATTTTACATCCACTGTGATGGAGCCTGAACCAGAGGAATCTTCTTTGCTGGCATTTAATTGGCTGACACAAGAGGAAAATGAGACTGAATTCAACTGCTCAGTTTTTTACCCAGGAAGGAATAAGTACTGCTTCCGCTTTGTTTTCAATTTTAGTCGATTGTCTAGTCCAGCAGAGAAGTGTCTGGTGGTTTACAGAAGTGCAGGTGAGGTTTAATCTATTGATTAAGACATGTTTCACTGCTATATGGAATATACATATGTTGTGAAGCTTAAAGGGAGATTTTCTTTTTAATCCAGTTCTCCTGTGACACATTAAAAAAAATCAAATGTCAGTGAAAATGATTTTAATTGAGGTGAATAATAAATTGCTGCATGTATACTCTTTTTAATAATCAAATTGACTGGAATTTGTGTGATAGACAATCTCAATTGAAATGATGGATTTATGGCTTTCGAGTTTTATCAATATAAATGTGAAAAGTATGGGATTTATTTTGATTCAGCAAGTTTTACCCCAAATAAGAGCTAATGAACAGTGGCTTTTATCAGTCACTAAATTAGAACATGACCTAATAAGTCCAACCGCCTTTGATTTAATGGGTCTTAAATTTGAATTGCAGAATCTTGGGGGCCCTGGCAGCCATGGAGTGTTTGCAGTGTGAGTTGTGGAGAAGGGGTGAGAGAAAGAGCACGGGAGTGTTTGCTGCCCTCAGGTGTGGAAGGCGTGAAGTGCGCTGGCATGGTGAAGGAACGGTCTCCATGCTCCCTGGAGGACTGTAATAGTAAGTTCTGTTAAATCAGTAATTTTAACAGTTTTATATTCTCTAAAGCAGTCAATCTTAACATTTTACCTTCTGCTCTACAACTTAACAACATAGGTCTATTAGCAACTCAGTTTAAGATGATTACACAAACTGCATCAAACCAGCTTAAAGGTTATTTTTTAAAGCTATATTTAATCTGACAAATGAGCCTAATTGAAATCTATATTCTGATTTATCAGATATGACTGTGCAATGTTTTGTCTGGTTTTTCATCTATGCTGATCATTTCATCCCATATTCATTTTTTTCTACCTCTAAATTATAATAAGAGCAAGTAAAGTTTTACTCATTTGATATCAGCCATTTTTAGTACGGTATATTACATTGAGGTGTCTGCAATAACAGGTCTCATTCTGTGTCAGTTCAAACCCACCAGGGGGATATCTTGCACCACCTTAGCAAATTATGATTTAAGGTGTTAAACAACACTTTCTATGATGTACTGATATGAAATTATAGGGACATATGTTTCTCTAGAGGCTTGAAAAAAAATCTAGTTTTCTAAAGCTTCTTAGAGACATTATGGTTTTAATGACAAACTGAAATCAAGGCTAAAATAAATGGAAGTACAATAAAGAGATTTTAGAAAATTATACTGAATAATATAAAACTGCTTGTCAGGTTTAGATGTAATTGTAAATAATCAACTAAATATTTGACAAAAAAACATTAATTAAATGGAACAATAAACTAAAATGCAATGATAAATGGTATAGTGGGTATGAAATATTTTACTATGGAGGAAAAGGGTTATTTTTTGTTTATTGCAACAGTTATTCCAGTTATATTATTGAAACTAGACTTTTTTATGCTGTTCTCAATACTATTTTAACATTTGAAGGAAAATTATGTTTTGTATCCAGATAATTTTGTATTCTTAATCCACCATTTTAGTTAGATATACATGCCACATTTCTCTCCTTTGTTCAGATTTAGTGATGAGGTAATATCCTTGTATCTCATGTAGATATTATTTCATTTTGTTCTCGCTCCTCAGTGTTATCTTCTCCATCTCCATCCCTGCCTTCTGTACCTGTGGGAGCATCGCCGTTTGGTGGGAACATGATTGTGGTGTTGGGTATTTCAATCTGCTTGGCAGTGATCATGGTGACTATAGTGGTGACTGTGTGGAGAAAGCTTTACCAGACTCCTCAGTGTAGCTCGGTCCATAGAGGCTCCATTCATCCCCCGGGGGGGCGCAAGCTTTCAGATGAGGCCTCCATCTGTGGCCACAGTCTTCAAAGACCCAGCCTTTCTGATGGTCATTTCCCATCGGCAGCAGTCATTTCCCAAAAACGACCCTCACTTGGAGCTCCGCCTCTCTCGCCACAGGCACCAGTGATGACACTTTCACAGGATCCAGAAAGGCTATCTCCCACAGGTCAAAAGGTGTTACCACCAATATTTGGGTATGCTCAAATATCTTTCCCACCAATATTTTTATCAGTACCTAATAATGTTTGTTAAACCCTTTTTCATTTAATTAATGTTCTATGTTCTCTGTAGCTATCGCCTGGCTCAGCAGCAGCTAAAAGAGATGAAGAAGCAGGGCTTAAAGGAGGCCACCCAGCTGTACCATGTCTCCTCAAGCCCAGTCCATGACACTGTGGTAGAGACATGTGCCTCACCCACCACCTCCCCCGTTCCATCCCCTACTGGATTTGTTTGTTCTGCTCTACCTGTGGGTACGCAGGACACTGCTAACAGCAGCCATGTTGGCACATCTACTCCTCTGTCTGAGGCTTCACGTTCCAGAGTTGAGTTTGTTTCAGGACCTTCTGACTCGGGGAGGAGCTCTAGATGGCGAGACCGCACAGCTGACTGGGTGGAGATGGTAGAGAGGAGTAAGATGGCCGGTCTTAGGGGAGGAGATACAGTATCGGGGAATAGTTACAACAGGAATCCAAACTTCAGACGGACCTCCAGCTTTAATGACACCAAACTCCTTTCAACTTCCTCAGCTCAATCCATGCATTTTAGAGAAAGGAGCATGACCCAGGTCACCCACCCATCATTTTTTTATTTTTGTTTCTTCTAGTTTATCTATTCTTAAATCAATTGTTACAAGACCTATTAAGATGTGATTCCACATTTTCCTCCTCAGGTGGGATCTCGGACTCTTCCAGAAGGAAGTTCTTGGACCAAAGGGAAATGGGAGAGACAGCCTCACCCCTCTTACCCCATCCCTGAGCACAGAGTCTCAGATTGGAGTACAACAAAACCCCAAATTCACAGCCAGAGGAGGACTTCTCAAAATACTCAAGTCAAACACATGGGAACAAACACAAAAACCTCATTATCTGATAAACATGTTAAAGACTTCAGTGGCACAGGGGAAAGAAAGACGCGTGTCGACTCTGGAGGCAGAGGTGGAGATTTGGTCTCAGGGATCGGAGGTCCATCCCTCACACTCTCCTGGTCTCGTGAGGTGAATCAGCTGGATGTAGAGCGAGCTGAGCGGGCTGAGCAGAACTGGAATCGGCGAGGCCCGTCACCTATCCAGAGAAACATCCTGGCCAGGAAACTGAAAGAAGCTCAGCTGTGCTCTGGAGGCAAAGGACGCCAGCGCAGCTCCAGCTTTAACATGTCTTCCTCTGAGTGTAGGAGGGATTGGTGCCAATCACTGCCAATATCTAGAGACCAGAGCAGCAGTGGTGGCTCCCCCTACAGGCTGAGTGAGGCAGAACAGAGGATGCTGGACTTGGATCTATCCCCAGTGTTTGTACAGAAGGAGTAGAAGAGCATATTACCCCTCATTTCCACTGGGTTACACGGCCATGTTAACATTATGGTGAAAAGAAAAAAAAATACAACTAACTCTTTAACACTTTTAATGTATTATTTTGAATATTTGCAAGTTATGATAGACAATTTCACCCTTTCTGCAACGTCAAGCATCTTTAGAAGAACAACATCATAAAAAATCCAACAAATAAAGGGTTTATATAAACTGTTAAGCCACAGTTTCAGTCATGCTGTGAAGCCTCAATGTTTATTGCTGTAAATATTGTGGTAATTTCTTCAGGGACCTTTAGAATCTGTATATTAATTTGTTTATATTGGAGAAGCATCGATATGTGCACATGTTATATATATACTATTAAACTGTAATTTCTTTTGAGATGTTCTACAGTGCCTTAAAAAATATGTACTGTGATTTTTTTGCGTTACAACCACCAACTTTATAGTTTTTATGTTACATTTTTTAAAGATTTTCTCTGAATGGAACTGGTCACTCTGGGCTTAATAGAGAGCTTTCAGGATAAAAAAGGTTAAATAGACATGCACCTCCACAGTTAGACATTTTTGAAGACAACAAATCCTTTCTCTTCTTTTCATAACTATTCTTTAATTTGCAGCTCTCTCTTAGACCTCAAATACTTTTGAAATACATGATATATGTTGTTGTGATGGGGCAAAATGTGAAATAAAAAAGTTGAGGGTTATTAATACTTTTGAAAGGCACATAGGTTAAATATCAGATATTTATACATTCTTAATATGCTGAAATGTTTACTGTATAAAAAAACTCAATAAAATGTTGATCCTTTGAAATATGAGGAATCAAAACATCCTGTTTTCTTTGCTATTAAATTAATACAAAGCCCACATTTTTTAAATGTCCCCTTCTCCACTTCCTGCAGTGTCCAAAAACACCAGAGGACGAACCTTCATGGTGGTGTGTCTAAGGGAATACCAAAGGCCTTTCCAGGTCCCCCACACCACACCATTGTCATATTCAGCCTTGTACTTCCCCCTTCGATAGAATTTGCCATTGAGGTTGGCTGCATGACATCTGCAGATAGAAGGTAGTTTGTAGATGATACAGTGGAAGGGATGATTAACAATGTTCAAACAGTGAACAAAGAAAAAAATAAATAAAAATACCTGTTAAACCACCAACCAGCCTGATTCTCTTTGGCACAGCTCCCCTGAAGGAAGCGATCATTATCCTGAAAACAACAATGAACAAATTTTCCTTAAAAAGTGCAATAAGTAGCCATTTGAAGCCTGAAAAAGGGGGACATGTATGGCTGACCTGATCTCTAGTGCTGAACTGCATGCCACTAAGGCAGGAAGACCACTGCTCCACCATCCCCCCACCACCAGTAAGAGCATCACCTGCTTTCCCACTGTATTGCCCATACTGGAGGCGATACTTATCCTGGAGGGAAAATTGGAAAATTTGTATTTCATAACAAAAAATTATAGTTGCATAAATACATATATATGTATATTGTTATTACAGCTTCATCTGTGATCCTGAAGTTTTCATAAAATGCATAACTTTTCTTTCCTTCCCAGTCCATGAGATCAATCTTCACCAGGTTCTTACCTGCAGCGAGACCAAATAAAAATTTATATTTTTTTAGATATTTATAGAAAATACTCTGCTCGTCAAGAGAATGTCAAGCCATGTGGTGTGAATAATTAGATTTTTTCAAAATGTTTTAAAACATTAATATGCAGATATTGTTAATAATTAAACTGATATAAATATGCTAAGAAAGAAGGATACAATGAATAAATTAATCTGAAAACTTTGCTGCCCTCTAGTGGTCGGGATTAGGACTGATTTAGCTATATCTGTTTTATTTTTGGTATTTAAATTACCAATCTATATAATTTAGCGTCTCTAAAGATGTGATTTAATGAATTAAATTTTATTAATTTTGATTGATTTAATTCATTAAATCACATCAAATCTATGAATTTTGATTGTTCCAATCAAAAAGGCTGCATTTGTATGAAGTTCGGTGTTGAGAAACTTGACTGTCTTATGCAGTTCCTCCCTCAGCCTTATAGAATACCTTTTGGATTATTAGAGTGAATACTTTAATTTAGATTTTCGTATTTCACTATGATAAATTTGACATTTAAAGAGTTTTTTTTTAATATAAAATGTTTAAAATAGTCTAGATATAGTGGCTAAGATTACCTACAAAATACCGTAAGTCAAATGCTGTCTTTTAATCTAAAAAAAAGCTTTATCAGATAGTTTGTGCTGGAGATGGCATATTTAGCTGACCTAGTTGTTGCAGCTGTTCCTTTTTTTTAGTATGTTATATGAAAGTGTGTTTTCCATATTTAGGATTTTGCTACATCCAAAAATCCTTGTATTTTAAAAGGTGTGTACAATTATTAAAGAGTGACTGCATGTAGATAAATGTAGATAATGGTCATTTTTTTCTAACCTTCAGACAATAGAGTGTTCATTTGTTCATTCCCCAACCAAAACTCATCATTCCATAGTTTAAAGTCTCCAAATCCGTCTCTGTAGTCCACCCAGTCTCTATGAGGATTAAACAGATATTTCATAATAGATTGATCTGCTGCATGAATTCAGCAAATTTTACTTCTTTTTTTTCTTCAGAAAAAATTCCTCTGGTAAAGCGCAGTACCTGTTAAAGTCAACTTTTCCATGCCGACGCCTCTGAAACACTGTCCACCCTCCTCCATCCTCCATATCACAATAGACCAAAAAAGGGTCCTGGTGTAATTTGGGTCTGATGCGGTAAAAGCCACTGGGTGATCTAAGTCTATCAAACAGTTGGGAGCAGTCTGTGGAAAACAACATTGTGAAGATCCTTGTACATTGTAAAGGCCTTCAAGTTGTAATTGCATAACTATATTAAATATATAAAACAGCTACAATGTTTGTTTGAGAATATAATTATAAAAAAAAGATATTTTTTGTATTTTCTAATAGTCAAGGAAAGAGAAGAGATGCAAGTAAATAAAATCCATAGATACCAAAATCAGATTACAATAAAAAGCAAAATGTTATTCGGTTATATGTGTTTGTATGCTGTGGGGAAATTTGTTTGTGCCTTTGATATATATGTTAACAAAAAAGTGATAATAGTAAGCATGGTATTTTTTATAATAACAACTAAATGTTATAATATTTAATACTTCTTTATACTAGCTGTAAGAATGACAATTATAAATAAGAAGCAAAAGTTAAATAAACAATTGACTAAAAGCAAAAATTTAAATTGAATCCATTTTAATTGAATCCCCTTGTATGCAGTAGTATTTTTTTGTGAAAATTAAATTAATTATTAAATATCTATTTTATTACTTACCTTTATCATAGACAATGAGATTTCCTGCAGGTGGAATTGATTTCATTGTTGTGTTTTCAGAGCTGCTGTTGTGGTTCAGATCAGGGGCTTGGTCAGTCTGTTGTTTACTGTTGGATCCTGCAAGCTGAGGTGATCTAAAGTATCTATGAGTTTGCAGATGCTCCACCTGCCAGGTTGTGAGCAACAGTTTATTCTCCAGTTTCTTTATGCTGTTCTTAAGAGCTGCAACCTCTGGTCCGCATGGAGTAGTTGCCTATGAATTAGAAATTCAAAGTTAGAAAATTTAAGAAAAAAAAAATGAAGTGCATACATCAGCATAATCCAGTGTTGATTCAAAAACAGACCTGCATATTCTTCTCAGCAGGTGCTGCGATTTACTTACATAAAGCTGCCCAGGAACTGCTGTAGCTGGGTAGACCAGATGCAGCAGCAACACTGCCATGGCATTCAACAGAAACACACTTCCAGCAAAATTAGTCTGAAATACATTCATTACACATTATCCACAAGGTTCATAATAAAAATAGTAATAACACCATCTTAATGAAATAAAACTTCATCCAACCTACCATTATTTCATAAAGCTTCCCCTTTGTTTTCTCCGTACTGACGTTCTCCCTCCTCTAATAATATGTCTGAACGATTTATAGATGGGGCTAGTTCTGCATGTTCCACATTAGGTGATTCAGAGCTGAACATTCCTTGAAAGTTTTTTATTTATTTTTTTATTTTGAAGCTCAAAGATGTGGCCGTGGTTATAAATCACACCTGATCCAAGAACTGACTCTGCCCTATTACAGAAAAGTATTTGGAAGAGTTTATTCCTCACCTACTGTTCCCATGAAGCTGCAATCACAAATACAATCAAGATTTTTATATTTCAAAACAGAATTCAAAACAAAACTGGGGTATTACCCAATGGGAGTTTCTAAACTCACATTACCTATGTTGATCTTAGTTTTTTTATTTTAAATGTGTAAATATCAAAAGGTTGAGGAAACAATTTACTCAAAAATTATTTGGTTATTGGATTAAGGATTTAAAAAGTGCTTTGTTTTTCCGACTTTAATCTCAGAATTTTGACTTTAATCTCAGAATTTTGACTTTAATCTCAGAATTTTGACTTTAATCTCAGAATTCTGACAGATTTCTGACTTGTTTTCCTCAGATTTCTGACTTGTTTTCCTCAGATTTCTGACCTTTTCCCCCTCAGATTTCTGACTTTTTTTCCTCAGAATTCTGAATTTTTTTCCATATTAAACTGAAATAAAATTTGAAAACCAAACTTTTTTTTAATTTTGTCACTGGCCCTATTCCTCTTCCGTACTTTCCAGCACAGTGACAGCATGGTGATGAAAGCAGGATTGGGGGTACTGATCCCTGCTGGAAAATGAAATCAGCAAAGGGAT